GGCCACAAGAATGAGGGAAGGGGATGTTCAGTCAGTACTGGATCTAGTATTCACCAGGAAAGAAAGAGGTATTTGTCATTCAGTAACTGAGTATAAGTGGCCTCAGTAACACAAGGTAAACCCCACTATGGTTCCGTAGTGATTGTGGCCCTGGCCCTCCATATGGTAAACAGATTGTTGCTCAAAACCTGAGTTTTTAAACTCTCCAGGGAGCACTTCAGGGGTTCCCAGAGGTGTTCTACCCCAGGGGTAGCGTTGAGTGGCGCCGTGGCCCAGTTTGACAGAGTGCGACAGTCTGCCATGTTGATGGTGCAGGATAATGACGCGTTTATGGTGGCTATGCAGCACTATTCTGCCGTCACTAGTCTCGACTGTCGCTACCATGGCCTCACCATCATGCATAGCACCACCGGTAATATTCTCACTATTAAAACCACCTGCACATTGTTATTCTATTCACCACTGATGTCTTCACCATCCCCTCCACTATCACTATCCCTCTACTACCATTATCCCTCCACTAACAACATAAACACCCCCACCACAGTTGGTTGGCCACTGTTAGTGGGAAGCTGACTATATAGCTAGTTGCAAGCCACTAGCACCCGACCATAACCAAAATCACCACCACCACCACCACTACCACTACCACCACCACCACCACTACCACTACCACTACCACCACCACCACCACTACCACTACCACCACCACCACCACTACCACTACCACCACCACCACCACCACCACTACCACCACCCACACCACCACCACCACCACTACCACCCACACCCACACCACCACCACCACCACCACAGCGTACCTCTGTGACTTCTGGTCCTTAATTAAAACTTACGATACGATGAACATCAGTTATGATTGACTCCCGTCTCCACTGAATGAAGTTTCAAAACAGTAAATTCAGGATCCTTGTGCATGTGACCCCTAGATGTGACGTGCTCCTGCGACGTGCTCCTGCGACGTGCTCCTGTGACGTGCTCCTGTGACGTGCTCGAAATACAATTTCATGTAATACATTAAGTGAGGTGTTTTTGTGATGACTTGTGTTGGAAGGCGTCGTCTGGCCCAACTGCTCTTGACACAGGGGATACGAACGTGTTGTGGCCCAACTGCTCTTGACACAGGGGATACGAACGTGTTGTGGCCCAACTGCTCTTGACACAGGGGATACGAACGTGTTGTGGCCCAATTGCTCTTGACACAGGGGATACGAACGTGTTGTGGCCCAACTGCTCTTGACACAGGGGATACGAACGTGTTGTGGGCCAACTGCTCTTGACACAGGGGATACGAACGTGTTGTGGCCCAACTGCTCTCGACACAGGGGGATACGAACGTGTTGTGGCCCAACTGCTCTTGACACAGGGGATACGAACATGTTATGGGCCAACTGCTCTTGACACAGGGGATACGAACGTGTTGTGGACAAATATCGACTGTTGACATGTACGAACCGTTAACACCAGGCCCAGTGGGTCCTATGGGACAAATCTCAATTCATGAATTCAAACTTGTGCAATGTTGATGTTTAAAACATATTTGAAAATTAGGTTCATGTTGACAGATATGGAATAATTAATACTGATTCTCATGTAAATCATCCTTAGCGTTACATTTGTTTAACAGCTTTTATAATATCTTCAGTATAATGTTTTGTGAAGTGAGATAACATGCAAGTTTTAATCCCAAAGACTGCATGAGTGAAAAAATTGAAATAACAACACAATGTTTCGTTTTTTATATATAACAGAATTCGTTGACGAATACTATAAATCTCTCTGTCAGGAAATGAGTTTATCAGAAAGTGTCAAGAAACCCGCTAAACTACACGAATTATTATTAATTTAGTTATCAAATCAACTAAACATCACTATGAACATCACCTCGTTATAATGTATCAGGCTGCAATTAATTATTACAAGCCTAGAAATAGTTTTTGTTTAATTGTCATTGGAAACCGCCAAGCCATCACGACTATATAGCACTTGGAAAGGGGTCAGAATAAGGATTTGGGATGGGACGGGGGTAAAGGAATGGTGCCTAACCACTTGGACGGTCGGGGATTGAACGCCGATCTGCATGAAGCGAGACCGTCGCTCTACTATCCAGCCCAAGTGGTTGGGTAAAAAAATTAGAAGCCCATGGGACGTTTACAAGCACGAAAACTTGCCAATCAACTGTTGTTATTGTTATAAACAGCCTCCTGGTGCTTCGGAACTCATTAACTGTTTAATAATTGTAAACAAACCCGCCAAAGATTGTGAAAAGATGTACAGGTTCGTAAGTGCTTGCGTAACTGCTTCATGAATCTGGCCCCCAGGTGATGGATTGGTACCAAACATGACCGAGCTCATGACCCCGTCACGAAGTACGATAACACACACACACACATATATATACAAAAATATGTGAGTGATATTCTTAATGCAGAATTGTTTCAGTGAGTAAATATTGCTCTAATTCTTTACACACACACATGTTACAATTAGCATGGAGACATTGTGTTGTGTTACCTACAACATGAATGATAAGTTTATGTGGTTGTTTCAGGTTTACGCCCCCCTCCCCCTTCCTGGCGCTATGTTTGAAGCATGTGACGCAAGTTGTGATGCTTCACATAACGTGTGACGCAAGTTGTGACGGTTCATATTACATGTGACGCAAGGTGTGACGGTTCACATAACGTGTGATGCAAGTTGTGACGTTAGGAATAACAGGGTCTTTGACAGTGTGACTGGGGGGGGGGTGATCCTCCCCCAGTCACACCGTGGGCGTGGGTCTTCCCTGGGAGTGTGTGGGGGAGTACGCGGTAGAGAGGAAAAGTTTGGGAGTAAGAGAGAATTTGGGAGTGTGTAAGAGAGAGAGTGGGAGTAAGGGGGAGAGAGAGAGAGAGTGTGATCAAGTGTATGGGAAAGAGTGGAACACAAGAGAGTGAGAGCAGCATGGAAAACAGAGAAAGAAAATAGAATCTGGAAACAGGAGAAATGAGAGAGAAGGAAGGACGGAGGAGAGGAAACTAAGAAAAAGAAGAAGCACAACTAAGAATAAAATATCAGGAGGAAAGAAGAAGAAGAAGAACCTCTTTATCAAGTTTCAAGATGATGAAGCTTGATAAAGAGTGAGATGGAGGAAGGGAACAAGGAGCAGTAAGAAACGAGAGATAAGGAAAGAGGAAAGGAGAATTAATCTAAAACACCTTGGCCCCATCCACACACAGGCAATGCACGTAGAACTAACTCGAACACACACACACACACACACACACACACACACACACACACACACACACACACACACACACACACACACACACACACACACACACACACACACACACGAGACAAACACGGACACACACACACACGACTAACACGGACACACACACACACGACTAACATGGACACACACACACACGAGACAAACACGGACACACACACACGAGACAAACACGGACACACACACACACGACTAACACGGACACACACACACACGACTAACATGGACACACACACACACGACTAACATGGACACACACACACACGACTAACATGGACACACACACACACGACTAACATGGACACACACACACACGACTAACATGGACACACACACACACGACTAACATGGACACACACACACACGACTAACATGGACACACACACACACGACTAACATGGACACACACACACACGACTAACATGGACACACACACACACGACTAACATGGACACACACACACACGACTAACATGGACACACACACACACGACTAACATGGACACACACACACACGACTAACATGGACACACACACACACGACTAACATGGACACACACACACACGACTAACATGGACACACACACACGACTAACATGGACACACACACACGACTAACATGGACACACACACGACAGACACATACACACGACCAACATGGACAAACACACACACATCAGTGGCACCAGAGGATATCGTCCATCGTAACGTGAGAACGTAAACACTCGCTTCAAACAAACAAGGAAATGACGCGATCAGTGATAGTGCGTTCCCCCCTCTGTGTGTTTTTTAATGGTCGACACACACACACACACACACACACACACACACACACACACACACACACACACACACACTGAAAGATGATGTAACCTGCAGAATTAGCCCATTAGGTGGAAGTTCGATTTCAACACCAGCACGTGTAAGGTGATTAAACAATAATCAGATGAGACCACCATTAACAACAAGCCTAACTCCGAGGGCACATATGAACAGGATAACATCAGCAGCATACTCGACATCACCTAAACCAAAAATAACACTCCGCACTAAGAGGGCTCACCGATCTCACACCATCTACGTGAGACCAACCTTAGAGTATGCAGTCCCACCTTAAATATCCATTATGGAAAAATGAACAGTTCTTTTCAACTAGGCTCGTTCCAGAATATCTTGGCTCCAGCACAGAACTGTTCGAAAAGGACAGTCAATATATGTACTTATATACCTTTATATACGTACTTATATACGTACTTATATACGTACTTATATACGATAATGTCCTGTATGAATATGTTTGCTGTATAACCGCGCCACTGTTGTGCCCACACTACTCAACAGTGGAACACTGATATAGTGGACACACTGAAAGATATCTCTTTCCATTAAAAAAAAGTTCCACATTATTTCTATAAAAAAATAATTACCAGCCAAGTGCTAGATATACAAAAAATCGTTCCATTACAATAAAATAAAAAATAATGAATTACTTGCACGTTAATTTACGTTTATTGGACAGTTCGGTGTGTTTTTGTTTGGCCTTTTAAAGTAATTACTTTATTTAGTTATCATATCGCAAACTGTACATAGGGAGAATAATCAGAATTACATCCATTCTAATCTTTTTTATGATAATACTGATCCGGATACGAGAGGAGTTTGTCAACATTTGAATTCAATGGAAATGTTTTTTCCCTCTTTAAATGCTATATTAATTTTGTTCGTGTGATTACACTGGTGAGTCGAATTGATAATATTGATGAAACTGTATTGATGTCGTGTTGATTGATGTCGTGTTGATTGATGTCGTGGTGATTGATGTCGTGGTGATTGATGTCGTGGTGATTGATGTCGTGGTGATTGATGTCGTGGTGATTGATGTCGTGGTGATTGATGTCGTGGTGATTGATGTCGTGGTGATTGATGTCGTGGTGATTGATGTCGTGGTGATTGATGTCGTGGTGATTGATGTCGTGGTGATTGATGTCGTGTTGATTGATGTCGTGGTGATTGATGTCGTGGTGATTGATGTCGTGCTGATTGATGTCGTGGTGATTGATGTCGTGGTGATTGATGTCGTGGTGATTGATGTCGTGGTGATTGATGTCGTGGTGATTGATGTCGTGGTGATTGATGTCGTGGTGATTGATGTCGTGCTGATTGATGTCGTGCTGATTGATGTCGTGCTGATTGATGTCGTGCTGATTGATGTCGTGCTGATTGATGTCGTGCTGATTGATGTCGTGCTGATTGATGTCGTGCTGATTGATGTCGTGCTGATTGATGTCGTGCTGATTGATGTCGTGCTGATTGATGTCGTGCTGATTGATGTCGTGCTGATTGATGTCGTGCTGATTGATGTCGTGCTGATTGATGTCGTGCTGATTGATGTCGTGCTGATTGATGTCGTGCTGATTGATGTCGTGCTGATTGATGTCGTGCTGATTGATGTCGTGCTGATTGATGTCGTGCTGATTGATGTCGTGCTGATTGATGTCGTGCTGATTGATGTCGTGGTGATTGATGTCGTGGTGATTGATCTCGTGTTGATTGATGTCGTGTTGATGCTCCTTATCTTTGTGATGTCTACGGTAGCCTTAAGACGCAGCAGAGATCTTCAGAAAGCTATTTACAACATCACCAGGACCCACCCGTACGGGTATGCAGCTCCGGTCTGGATCCCCACATGATCAACATTGAATGGAACTGTAACATACGAAGGTATATGCAACATGATTTGTTTTGCAACTGAGGGGATTGAACTACCTTGGACGACCGAGGGATCTTAACCTGGCCACACTGGAGGCAGGACGCAAGGAACACGCCATAACCTGGCCACACTGGAGGCAGGACGCAAGGAACACACCATAACCTGGCCACACTGTAGGCAGGACGCAAGGAACACACCATAACCTGGCCACATTGGAGGCAAGACGCAAGGAACACACCATAACCTGGCCACATTGGAGGCAGGACGCATGAACACTCCATAACCTCGCCACACTGGAGGCAGGACGCAAGGAACACACCATAACCTGGCCACACTTGAGGCAGGACGCAAGGAACACACCATAATCTGGCTACACTGGAGGCAGGACGCAAGGAACACGCCATAATCTCGCTACACTGGAGGCAGGACGCAAGGAACACACCATAACCTGGCCACACTGTAGGCAGGACGCAAGGAACACACCATAACCTGGCCACATTGGAGGCAGGACGCATGAACACTCCATAACCTCGCTACACTGGAGGCAGGACGCAAGGAACACACCATAACCTGGCCACATTGGAGGCAGGACGCATGAACACTCCATAACCTCGCCACACTGGAGGCAGGACGCAAGGAACACACCATAACCTGGCTACACTGGAGGCAGGACGCAAGGAACACGCCATAACCTGGCCACACTGGAGGCAGGACGCAAGGAACACGCCATAACCTGGCCACACTGGAGGCAGGACGCAAGGAACACGCCATAACCTGGCCACACTGGAGGCAGGACGCAAGGAACACGCCATAACCTGGCCACACTGGAGGCAGGACGCAAGGAACACACCATAACCTGGCCACACTGGAGGCAGGACGCAAGGAACACGCCATAATCTGGCCACACTGGAGGCAGGACGCAAGGAACACGCCATAACCTGGCCACACTGGAGGCAGGACGCAAGGAACACGCCATAACCTGGCCACACTGGAGGCAGGACGCAAGGGACGCACTGAAACAACTACCAAAACATTAAGATAACATAAAGTCTTAACAAAGACTCAGTGAGAACCCAAGAGCCGTAACCCAATGGGTTCGAAGATATCAAAGAAACAAAGTCCACCGTTTCAAAACATAACACACACACACACACAAAAAAAACGCCAAAGAACTCATTAACAAAAGATTGTCACCTCATGCATTAACAAACGCATCAAGGTGAGTATACCTTGTGAGTATACCTTGTGAGTATACCTTGTGAGTATACACACACACACACACACACACACACACACACACACACACACACACACACACACACACACACACACACACACCATGAGGATATATTTATGGCTGAGTCTCCCTGCAGTTGGAGTCTCTACGGAAATTGTCTTCAGAATACTTTGTAAGTTCTTTATCTCTCAACTGGTCCTGCCAAACCTCTGGGAACTGCAGGTATGTGCAGGGTAATATATTCAGGAAATACTCTTCCTATGTTACGATTAAGTATTTGTTAGAAATTTAGGTGGAATTGATGTCGAAAGCGGAAACATTCATCTATGTGTACCAGGAGTGACGCTGGTAGCGTTGATCTGTGTATCAAACATCACGCTGGTGGCGTTGATCTGTGTACGAAACATCACGCTGGTGGCGTTGATCTGTGTACGAAACATCACGCTGGTAGCGTTGATCTGTGTATCAAACATCACGCTGGTGGCGTTGACGCAGGACTTGTCCCGCTGAAAAAGCTACACAGAACCTAAGTCCTCAAAGGCCAGCCAAGGTCCTGGACAAGCGATATTAAAGCGCGTATTAAGGAACAAAATGGATAAAAGTGAGCGCTGCCAACGCTTGCCACGAAAGGGATAGAAAAGTGTACCAGCGAGTATAAACTTACCTACAAAAATGGAGCGAGTTTGCATAGTTGAATACTGCGACACATAATACTGCGGTGTGGCCAGCAATTTATGTGTGTGTGTGTGTGTGTGTGTGTGCAGTTGAAGCTGCTGTTGCTGCTGCTGTTGCTGCTGCAGCAGTCGCGCGACGCTGTAATATTCATGCACCTTCAGCTGAGCTGTACACTGCCGCTAACATATAGCAAGTGGCGCTACTTCAGCCAGGGGTCGTGTGTCTCCCTGCTAATGGTCGCTGCTTGTCTTCGCTCCTTTATGATTGGTTCAGTTCTACTGCCATTAAGGAGTCGAGTTTGTGTATTCTTAGCTACTTAAACACGCTATCGTTAGCGTCTTTCCCTACCTAGACACGCTATGATTAGCGTCTTTTATTACCTTAACACGCTATGTCATATATATATATATATATATATATATATATATATATATATATATATATATATATATATATATATATATATATATATATATATATATGCGAACAAGCCTGAATGGTCCCCAGGACATATGCAACTGAAAACTCACACCCCAGAAGTGACTCGAACCCATACTCCCAGAAGCAACGCAACTGGTATGTACAAGACGCCTTAATCCACTTGACCATCACGACCGGACATAATGAGGTGATAGCCGAGGCTATATGAACCACCCCACCGCCGGCACTCGGATAGTTATCTTGGGCATAGCATTTTACCAAATCACCTCATTCTTTGGGGCACACGTGAGGAACACAAATGCGAACAAGCCTGAATGGTCCCCAGGACATATGCAACTGAAAACTCACACCCCAGAAGTGACTCGAACCCATACTCCCAGAAGCAACGCAACTGGTATGTACAAGACGCCTTAATCCACTTGACCATCACGACCGGACATAATGAGGTGATAGCCGAGGCTATATGAACCACCCCACCGCCGGCACTCGGATAGTTATCTTGGGCATAGCATTTTACCAAATCACCTCATTCTTTGGGGCACACGTGAGGAACACAAATGCGAACAAGCCTGAATGGTCCCCAGGACATATGCAACTGAAAACTCACACCACAGAAGTGACTCGAACCCATACTCCCAGAAGCAACGCAACTGGTATGTACAAGACGCCTTAATCCACTTGACCATCACGACCGGACATAATGAGGTGATAGCCGAGGCTATATGAACCACCCCACCGCCGGCACTCGGATAGTTATCTTGGGCATAGCATTTTACCAAATCACCTCATTCTTTGGGGCACACGTGAGGAACACAAATGCGAACAAGCCTGAATGGTCCCCAGGACATATGCAACTGAAAACTCACACCCCAGAAGTGACTCGAACCCATACTCCCAGAAGCAACGCAACTGGTATGTACAAGACGCCTTAATCCACTTGACCATCACGACCGGACATAATGAGGTGATAGCCGAGGCTATATGAACCACCCCACCGCCGGCACTCGGATAGTTATCTTGCGCATAGCATTTTACCAAATCACCTCATTCTTTGGGGCACACGTGAGGAACACAAATGCGAACAAGCCTGAATGGTCCCCAGGACATATGCAACTGAACATATGCAACACGACCGGACCTCATTATGTCCGGTCGTGATGGTCAAGTGGATTAAGGCGTCTTGTACATACCAGTTGCGTTGCTTCTGGGAGTATGGGTTCGAGTCACTTCTGGGGTGTGAGTTTTCAGTTGCATATGTCCTGGGGACCATTCAGGCTTGTTCGCATTTGTGTTCCTCACGTGTGCCCCAAAGAATGAGGTGATTTGGTAAAATGCTATGCCCAAGATAACTATCCGAGTGCCGGCGGTGGGGTGGTTCATATAGCCTCGGCTATCACCTCATTATGTCCGGTCGTGATGGTCAAGTGGATTAAGGCGTCTTGTACATACCAGTTGCGTTGCTTCTGGGAGTATGGTTCGAGTCACTTCTGGGGTGTGAGTTTTCAGTTGCATATGTCCTGGGGACCATTCAGGCTTGTTCGCATTTGTGTTCCTCACGTGTGCCCCAAAGAATGAGGTGATTTGGTAAAATGCTATGCCCAAGATAACTATCCGAGTGCCGGCGGTGGGGTGGTTCATATAGCCTCGGCTATCACCTCATTATGTCCGGTCGTGATGGTCAAGTGGATTAAGGCGTCTTGTACATACCAGTTGCGTTGCTTCTGGGAGTATGGGTTCGAGTCACTTCTGGGGTGTGAGTTTTCAGTGATATATATATATATATATATATATATATATATATATATATATATATATATATATATATATATATATATATATATATATATATATATATATAAACTCTTATCCTGAACCCTTCCCATTGCTATATAGTCATAATGACTTGGCGCTTTCCCTGATAGTTCCCTTCCCTTCTCTCAGCAGTTGTTACTCCTGCGTGACGCACGTGACACGCGTCACACCTGCTACTCCTGCGTGACGCACGTGACACGCGTCACACCTGCTACTCCTGCGTGACGCACGTGACATGCGTCACACCTGCTACTCCTGCGTGACGCACGTGACACGCGTCACATCTGCTACTCCTGCGTGACGCACGTGACATGCGTCACACCTGCTACTCCTGCGTGACGCACGTGACACGCGTCACACCTGCTACTCCTGCGTGACGCACATACTCCCGTCATTATCTACCACCACCTTCTTGGCCTTTCACTGGAAAATATTATATAATTGGAAAACAGATCGAGAAATGCAGTATTATCACCAGCGTATTTTTCTCCTCTCTGACAGTGGACTCTGAGCCTCAGGCAGACAATATCTGCGATATTTACGGTAATGGTTCACCGTTACTGGTGAGCGATATTTCCTTAATGTCACTTTCTCTTTGTAAATTGACTTAAAAACTCGGAGAATGATGAGGAGGGTGGTTTGTTAGAGTTGTGTGTGGATATGGTGGTGGGTGTTGGCACCCCTGACTCCTGTGAGAGGGTGAGTGGGGGGGCGGGGGGGGAGGGGAATCCTGTGAGGGAGGATTCCTGTGAGGTAGGATTCCTGTGAGGTAGGATTCCTGTGAGGGAGGATTCCTGTGAGGTAGGATTCCTGTGAGGTAGGATTCCTGTGAGGTGTTCCCAGGAGTAGCATTGACCACTTCTTCCTTTCAGCCAAGTTAATGCACAATCTTAAATGTGTAAACTTCATTTCTTCAGAAGGCGGAGCACTGGAACATCGACTAGCTGAGTGTATCTAGGTAAGTACTCACACATGCATATAATACACTGCAGGTACATACATATGCATAATAGCATATGTAGGCATATGTAATTGGTGTGTACTGGCAGCAGGTTTTCATTTAGACATGTTTCATTGAATATGATGTCATATTTCATGCTGATTATTTTCTTCTTTATGGCTTCTATCCTTCTGACGGAAGGGTCTTGCATCTTGAGTTAATTGGAAGAGGTTTTCTCCAAATGTCATAGAACTGTTCGAGGTTGACTTAAAGAATTAAAATTAACTGTTGAATGTATTATAACTTATTTTAAATTTACACAATGTTTCGAACCAACATGGTTCATTCTCAAGTGAAGAGACAGGAGAGAACATATCGGATTTAGACCTCTGGGAGGTCAGGTACAGAGGAGAGAAGTAGACATAGTGTTTTGGGCAGTGACGTCAGTGTTAGCATCTCTCGCGGTCCGGTATACTGCTCTCACTCTTATGGTGGGTAGAGTGTTCTCACTCTCATGGTGGGTAGTGTGTTCTCACTCTTATGGTGGGTAGAGTGTTCTCACTCTCATGGTGGGTAGAGTGTTCTCACTCTTATGGTGGGTAGAGTGTTCTCACTCTCATGGTGGGTAGAGTGTTCTCACTCTCATGGTGGGTAGTGTGTTCTCACTCTTATGGTGGGTAGAGTGTTCTCACTCTCATGGTGGGTAGAATGTTCTCACTCTTATGGTGGGTAGAGTGTTCTAACTCTCATGGTGGGTAGAGTGTTCTCACTCTCATGGTGGGTAGAGTGTTCTCACTCTCATGGTGGGTAGTGTGTTCTCACTCTTATGGTGGGTAGAGTGTTCTCACTCTTATGGTGGGTAGAGTGTTCTCACTCTCATGGTGGGTAGTGTGTTCTCACTCTCTTGGTGGGTAGAGTGTTCTCACTCTCATGGTGGGTAGAGTGTTCTCACTCTCATGGTGGGTAGTGTGTTCTCACTCGTACCTAGTAGCCAGAACGTGTTCTCACTCTGCAATGGTGCCTAATAAGCCAAGTTTTCATGAATTGTTTTTGACTTCTCTATCTCTTCGGTGGGTAGTTGTTAGGTTCTCATGGTCGGTAGAGGTGGTTAGGTCGGTGTGTGTGTGTGTAATGTATGTATGTGTGTATGTATTTATGTATGTATGTATGTGTGTGTATGTAGGTGTGAATGTATGTAGGTATATATATATATATATATATATATATATATATATATATATATATATATATATATATATATATATATATATATATATATATATATAATATTATATAATCTCACGTAACAGAGGCGAAACAATATATAGATATTGTTAGGCCTTTGTGATGGTCAAAGGAAAATACCTGAACAAAGAAGAAGATCCTTGTAATCAAGAGATGGACACACCTGTATATATTAAATGGTGCAACACTGACAGGAATTTAGAGCAGGATTTTAAAGGAGAAATTCCTGGCCTCGGCTGTTAAAATATACCAGAATTTAACGTAAATATATTATATGAACGTGCTCATCCGTCTGGAAGCCTCACACACCTGTCTGGAAGCCTCACACACCTGTCTGGAAGCCTCACACACCTGTCTGGA